AAAGTGTAGCTGCGTGTCAGTGCATACATAGTTCGTCCCATTTGCATCAAGTTATACAAGCGGCTGACAAAATGTCACATGATCAGGTGATTTGTCGCTAAATACATATCGGATCCGCCCATCTAAGCTATGCAAGTGGAGACTGCGTGACCCGCGCCTGTTCTCACACAAAGGGGATCCCACACGACCTCTCACTTCTTTATTCGGCATCACGTTGATCCAGCAAACGATCACACAAATATCAGCCTCAGCAGAGTGGCTACGGTACGTTCTTGCAGATAAAACTTCCAGCTGATGTGTATAGCCATGACAATGAGAGATATCCTTTACGCACCGAGGTTAGGTATGAAGGAGGTCAATATAGTGATTCCAATAGTACGAGCCCTGCATAGCTTAATGTTGTTCAAAGTGACCAATACCCAAGAGTGACCGTCCAAACAATAATGCTAGCAATTTTGGCTAACGTTAATTGCCCTAGGTGATTCCACATCATTTGCCAGGACATCGACAATCGACTTTGAATGGGGCCGTTGATCAATTACGTCATAAAGCAAAATGTTTATCTCGACAATGGCATTATTGACATTGTATGCGTACATTGCATCTGATTGAACCTCATGTAACGAACGTAGCTAAAAGGGCACCTTACAAAGGTACAAGGTTGGGTCAACTATGACACATCTTACATGAAAAAGAGGTGTGCTTGCTTGTCGTAAAAGATTGAATGAGATGGAAAAGACGTCATTGTGAGCCTCACTTCAAGCGAGTAAAGAAAGCTGTTGCTACAACGTCTGATGACAATATCACACTACGCACCTCATACCCACTCGCCGACTGAATGGCCCGATCTCCTTCACTGTAATCTAAATTGTATAGAAATATCAACCACCAAAATTGAAATTACTGTTGTACTTAAGAGTACCCGAACGAGAAAGTATGAGCTGTAACGATGAAGTGGAAGAGACCATGCAAAGCACTATTGCGATATGTTGTGTGAACAGCGTAGAACGCGTTTACAGGAACTTCTTATGTCCAACGCGTCACCATCTCCAACGCAAAACATTTGTTGACATTATGGTGCAGACGAGGCCTGTCATGAAATTCAGGTACAGAAATGAGAAGATGAGGAAGCTGTAGGAGCAGGTATGCTCGAAGCAGCAAAAGAAATGACTGATGAGGCCATAACAACAACAAAAGCTGCTATCTACTTCTGATGTAACTCTTTCGTCATCATAAACGTCCTTGAGCCTGATTGGTGACACGAGCATGCTTCTCTTTCATCCCCGTACCATCAATCTTAAACTCAATCAATGTCCCCAGATTAACTATACGCGGCTTCATCCATCGACGAGTGTACCGTCGGTACGTATCATCATTCCTGACATCAACACAAGTGCTATCGTTCATCAAGTAGAATGTGAGCTGACATGTTGCCGCCATCTCCAATGCAAAACAAATTCTGAAGAGTTGTACAAAATGACCTCCGACGGCATGTAGGCCAGCGAGTTATGAAGGAGCTAGGTCAAATTTGTGCAGCGAAAACATAACCACGTGATGAGCCAGGTATCCGGATCCGAAGTCAAGCAACTATGCATACGCAATTATATCGATAGGAGCAATTTTATTGAATGCGAGTACTACTGACAACATTATGTCGAGCGGACGCTACGTGCTGTAAAAAAATGGGACGATTTTCTTCAATTGTGCTGAGTTTGGCTAGTACTTGATGTCACAGCCGACTACTTCTTGTGGCATGAACGTATCTTTTACGATCTCCCGTTTACACCATTCGACATTTGCAGGCCATTGTTCATCACGAATGCTCACAACGTTTGCTTGCTTAAAAGCGAGCTGATACATGTGTGGGCGCAGCCCAAGCCCGCTTCTGCGCACACTCGGTCCTTAGATGTTGTAGCGGCTCAATAGCGCGATCATTATTCGATTGACTTTTTATCGTTATGCAGAAGCGTAATTATCTTAGGTCTCGCTACCACAGTCGTTCGACGGGCTGTTTCCAGCAGCGTCGCAAAGTACTCGGCTCGTATGTAATTACTCAGAAGATAGTCATGTGCTGGATCACGCTACCGACACCGGGATAACATTCCCCCACCAAGTTGGACTCATCCCGTTATTGCCACTTAAGTATTGCTAGCGTATCTAAGCTTGGATCTATTGACTGAAATCATATGAAATACTCAAACCATCCTCCATTGTGCACATGAGAGAATGCAAGACTGCATCGTGGATGCCGTGTGTATGGTGTATCGAGGTACAACATCATTAGTGACATGTAAAATGCTTGGCTTGGCTTGCGTGAGAGACACACTTTCATGAAATTCAATCTACGAATTGTGTTATTCTTTGCAAGCAGTAGATTTGCCATTTAGAGTTGGCACCACACTAGCAGCTTATCGTTTAAATAACGCCGTGCTGATTCCAAACCCTTTTATGTATGGATGGTACTCACAATAGATGCCAACATGCTCATGAAAAAAATCATAACGCTCATGTCCGCTAGCTCATTGTTGGATAGGCATAATTGCATAACTTGCGTTGGGAACCAAGTCATTCGATTCAGGTCCGTTTGACGTGGTACTCTTACTGTTCTCAATGTTTGCAAAGATACTCAGGGTGACCTTCGGTTGTGCAGAAGTACAATTTGCTAATGCTTGGCTCCCTCACCGAGCACTTCCAATTTTTGTTGACAATCCAGAAATCTCTGACGTTGTATTAGAGACCACAACTAAACTTTCATCAAATTGCATCGTTTCGTGTTCGGTTGACCATTGCTGGCGACCCTCGTGACCCACTGTTTCCTTGCCTTGCTCCTTCTTTTTTTTGTATCAATCCATGTCTGTCAATTGATACTGATACGTCGACCGTGCCGCACCGAATGTGCAGGTCGTAGTGTTTTCTACGTTGAACTCTTTCCAGTGCAATTAGTTCCAATCCATTTTATAATCCACTTTGTTTCCTTAGCTGTGCCTGGATTTCTTCGTCTTCCTATGGATTAGGAGGTCATGCATGTCCAATCAAACAGACACTATGTTCCGATATTGTGCCCGCTTTATTGTAACTATCCTCGACCAGCAGCCGCTCCATGTTTCCATTTTCTATACGGAATTGGTAGTCGAGTATTTGGAACTGCTCAGTGAGATCTTTTGTGGAATCAGTACGGCGACTGTCCACAGTTTTTATCATTGTTCATCAACAGCCAACATGGTCACGGCAGCGGCAGGAATCGCCTTGTACGCGTATTTGTTCGTATACAATACAGTGTGCTCAGGTCCTTATACTCCCCACACTTAGATCCGCTTGGTCACCAGATGATTACGACATGAGTAGATGCGTCAGCCTCAATTTCTAAGTGAATGTTGCCGCCAAATGTCATCATCAAGGAGGACGAGTTTGTGGTTGGTACTCCAACACGCATGAAAACTAACGACATCATACTATCATCGCTCTGAATCCACTATCTGGAATATTGAACATTCAAGAACACGCTGTGCATGCAGTTTTCTCTTTGGCAATGCGCTGAAACTTCGAAATTCGCCTTTGCTTGGATTGAAGCGCTTTTGTGTTTTCTGATGCGATTTTACAGCTCAACGATAGATTTTTCTTTTCACGCTCAGGTCACAGGCCGATTTTCTCATGCGTCCCCAATGTTCTCGATAACTTAAAGAGTTGTAGTGTTCGCGGACTACGTTGACAGGTAACAGTGTTTTACGTGCAGGTGATCCGGTATTGTGACACCTCATCTTGGAAACGATCAGTGTAAGGGACAGTTGTGGCAGGTTTCGGTAGCCAAACCTACCTCCTGAAGAGGGTCGTCCTCTTGTCATGATCTTCTTCGCTTATTATATCACTGAAATTGTACCATACTTTGTAAAGCCCTCTCCGGAGCAAGAACCGCTTACGGTATCCCAAACGAGTTCTGCGTCGAACTTTTCGCCGAACGTCCCAATCTCTGATTACATTTTACCTGCACTTTTTGACGATGTGAGATCAACGGAAAATGGCCTGGGGGCAGCATCTGGGCAAGCTTGGGGTAGCGACAAATGGCAGCCGTCTTGGCTGCAGTTTTCTGGTAAATCTCCAGTTTTCGAGATCAGCAGTCTAATGTCGACACGGTAACGATTTCTTCCTAGTTTATGCGACAATGAAGCTGCCGTTTTCGAAGCTGCTGGACCGCAGGACCTGTACAAGCTAGTTCTTCGTGTGACTAAAGCAAAAAACTATTGTCGTCTATGAGCACGCTCCAAATAACTACGCTGCGGGAGCGCAATCTCCAAAGGTCTGGAGTCCGTCTGCGGTCATCGAAAGACTTTTACATCTTGCACGCAACATCGCACATACAGCTAATATGCAGATCAGGACACCAGCGTCAGGACGACTGAGCTTGCAGACAATTGGAATCTACAATGAAAGTTGCTACAGCTGCTGCACGGGCACCGTTACCTAGCGTTATCAACACAACTACCTCGTCGATCGAACCCTGCGATCTCGCTCACTTGATACTTTGGACTCTGGCGTACGATGTCAAGATGCACGAATGCCTTTGCATCACACGTGGGTGAGCTCTGCCCACCCACGCCCACCCACAGTCTTTTGCCTAGCTGGTCACCAGATTCATATTGGACAAAGAAGCCTCATACACCGTTGTAAATTAAGTTTTACTAAATTATGGCACGAGCTAAAATAACGATTACGATGTTGCGCCCACCCATCAAATGTCGGTCGCACCCATGATCATAAAAAACCGTAGACGTGGGTGCTCGTGGGCGCCCCAGTTTCAAACTCTGGCACGTGATCGTCATTTAGCACTAGTTCTGCACAACTGAGTGCTCTAAATTTGAGTCGTTTTTCAAAACCCAAACGAAAAGATTGGGCAAAACTCAAATCGTCCGCCACGAGACACAATTAAAAAACGACTTTCTTTGCTCACAGAGTGAAAAAGTGCTCGACGTGCGCTCGAGTCGGACGCCCAGAGACCAGCAGCCATGGCGGAGCGCAAGGCCGTGATCAAGAACGCCGACATGCACGAGGACATGCAGCAGGACGCTGTGGACTGCGCGAGCCAAGCGCTGGAGAAGTACAACATTGAGAAGGACATTGCGGCCTTTATTAAAAAGGAGTTCGACAAGAAGTATAACCCCACGTGGCACTGCATCGTCGGCCGTAACTTTGGCTCGTACGTCACGCACGAGACCAAGCACTTTATCTACTTTTACTTGGGTCAAGTGGCAGTTCTGCTGTTCAAGTCTGGATAAAAGTGACGAGAAGACGCGCGACGCACAGGTGGACCCACTTTTTTTCCGGTAGCTATCGGGACGGGAGAATATATCGTAATATATACTGTCGCGGTATTCGTACATCGGGCTAGGTGCTCACTCGTGTTCATTTTTGGTATACCTACTCTGCAAGCGTGTATTGCACACCGTATGCGTGAATCACACATTGTACGCGGAAGTCAAACTCTGTAAGCAGTATCCACTCACTCATGGCATGCTCGTAAACTGCTCACTGATATCATACGTGGTACGCCGTATCCGGACTCTTCATGCTATGCTCATAAACGGCATGCTGTATTCACACACTGTGCACCGCCTCATACGTTGTATGCGACGTATGGAAGTGTATGGTGTATGGACTCACAGTACGCTGCTGTTATGACTGCAATTTGTAGTTGTGTGCTGTGAACCAAGTTAATACATTGCATTTCGTATCAAGCAAGAGTTATCATGTCGCTGAACGAGGCGGGCAAAATGGCGTCTGCTTCATTAATTCTCAAAGTTCCATCTACATCACGTTGCGCTTTTCCTGATCGTGGCCACGTCCAGTGGCAGCTACAGCACTCGAGTGCGTGGTCTCAGCATGCTGGATAAGTGCAGCCACAGTCGGAAAGTCAGCTCGGCATTGCGGACACACTTCTCTTTCAACCAAAGGTGTTCCAGTAGACACAGCTGACTCAGGAGGAGCTGCAGAAGACGCTCTGGTCTGGCCAGTCCAGTCACTGTGGGCTCGATCTACGTGTGCAATGAGCTGGCTCACGTCGTGAAGCTGCTGCCGACAGATGGGACAGACTTCAGACGTCGTCGTCACGGCAGTAGTACTGGCTGCAGTCTTGACGTTCTGCACAAGCGACGAAACTGCCTGCTTGGTGCTCTCGACAACTAAAGCAGCTATTTGCGGTGCACTCCGAGGCAACTGAGACGGTAACGTTCTCTTCGTCCTTGTAGCAAGACTCGCCTCGGACGTCTCGAACCGCCCGAGCCACTGCCGTCGTGACGCTTGTCTTGCACTCGCACAGGCATGATCGGACTCGAATCGGTGCCGTAGACACACGTCTTGGCTGCACTTTCGACACGAAAACTGGTTGGACGCGAGCAGCACTTCCCGACAGTCGGGAGCGGCACAGCGTTTCTTCTTCTTCTTCTTATGTTGCACCTCGTGCCTTTTTGCTTGCTCGTGTTGGAGCTCCTGGCGAGCGCATTGCCCCTTTCGCACGTGCGTGTCCCACACCATATTCACATCTTGCTCTGCCGTCCAGTGGATCAATTGCGAGCAGACGGGGCACTGCACGACGCGGCGGTCGTGGCTGCCAGCGCTTGGACACTGGTGGGCGTCGTAGCTGCGGTGGTCGAGGCAAAAGACGCGGCGGCAGCAGTCGCACGTGAACGGCAGAAAGTCCTGCTGGTGGCAGGAAGAGATCGAGCAGTGCGCGCCAATGTCCATCGATGGATGGTTAGGGGTGGCAGTCGACCGATTCGCTCTCCCTCCCTCGTGTGACAGGCGCTCGTTAGCTGAATTTCGCTTCCTCTTGTTTTTCCTGATGACAATGAGCAAATGACGAAGGAGGAGACAAAGAACGACGGGATGAGAATAGTGACGACCTCGAGTTACAGACGAAAAGTTCGTATGGGGAATAATCAGACCTGCTGCTGCAGTTCTCGATCGGATGGGATCGAAAGGTGTTTTTAAACGGGATTAGAGTGTTTAAACGAATAAAGACCCACCTTCTCCACGAATCTAGTACAGACCGTCCTGACTCTACTATCCAATCATCGTGCAGCATGAGTCACCACTCATTTTCGTCATGGCGCTCTTTCGGTACGTGGTCCCCCCTAGCCTATCCCTCTCTCTCCCTCTCTCTCTCTCTAATGCACTTGATCTTGATCAATGTATCCAGATCCCTCGCTCGTCCGTTCCGATCGCTCCATGTAGCTGCACCCGCCATTTCTGTCAACTCTTTACGCTTTGCTGCCGCCTCGTCCCCCGCCCCGCTCGTTTCGTCTCGGCTGCCCACGCGCGCGTCCATTTTCTTCCCTCTTCCCCATCAGCTGCAGTTCGTTCGGACGATGGGTTACAAGCTCAAGACGAAAGCTGCTGTCAAAAAGCGCTTCAAAGTCAACTGCAATGGCCTCGTCAAGCGCGCGCAGGCCAATAAGCGCCACATTGCGACGAAAAAGACGCGCGAGCGCATTCGTCGACTGGGCAAGTCGGTCTTTGTACAGGGCCAGATCCGCAAGAATGTGCTCCGGATGCTCGGCAAGTAGAGTCATTAATATGTCGCTATCGAAGGATACGTCTGTTGTCGGATAGGAGTTTGTTGGGTTGGCTTGGCAGTGAGGAACTGGTTTGGAGGTATTTAGGCAGAAATCGGTCACGTGCATCTTCAGATCCAGTAGATTTCTTTGGTTTACCCACGAGGGTGGCCGGATGCATGACCATTGGTGAAACAACAAGAAGCGTCGGCAAGGAGGAACAAGCAAGGGCCTTGTTGGTATGGTGATGCCAGAGACTTGAGCTGTATGTAACTCTGACAATAAAAGCAATAGACTTACATGGACTTAGCTATGCTTGGAGTGGTTGCATTGACAGCGTAAAGAAAAACGGGTGCAGTGGAGGATTGATCGTAGTCAAGGAAGAAGTCGCGGCCGTTCGTGCGATGGTGTGAACGGATAGTTTGACCAAGTGCTTTATGGCTGCAAGCAACTAAACACTTGACGCACCTTTGGATATCTGCTTTACCTTGGTGCAGTAGCGATGTCACGGGCAAATGCACGTGAATTAAAGGTGTGTCAACACGAGATTAGTTAAAACCAACCTCATGTTGTTTCACCTTTAGCCTGGTGTTGCGATGTTCATGCAACTCCCCGGCTTATAGTGCCGTAAGTTGTGATAAGTATCCTGATGCACTTGATGTATGCGTCAAACTTGCATGCAACTCACGTATTCGTGTGTCCTGCATACAAGTGGCCTACATGCAAGTGGCATCTACGCTGACGTTCCCAGCGCAGAGATAATTATCGAAAGGACTACCAACACGACGAAGGCGATGACACCTGTTTTCGTGTTAATGCGTTCGACTGTAATGTCAAATCGATAAGGGCGTGTGCTTGTGCATGCTACCTAGTTGGCCCGATCTTGACAATATGCAATCAATGGATCATGTTCTGGTAGTCAAGTGCTGCAATCGAGCAGAGTGGCAGTGTTTCTTTGTTTAACTAAGCGTAGTTCAGCGCCCAATTTGCTCGATTAACAGGTGAGAAGTGCCAGTCAAAGTGTTGACGGTAACAGCCAGTCTGTCGTTCGCATCAAACCGGGCAATGGTGCTAGCAGTCAAGGAATTATGGTAGCCAGAATTCGAGCCCGAATAGATGCACTCTTCGTTCTTCCGAATAGAGATGCCTTGATTTGAGCCAGTCTTCACAACAACTGTAATGCTGTAAGCTCCAGGTTGACGAATCGAGATCTCGCCAGTTCCATGATCCAACGTGAAGTTGTCCGAATCGGGATCGCTCCACTGCAGCTTTTTAGTTGTGCCATTTTTTTGTTGAAGCTTCAAGGTGTACATGCGCGATAGATTGTTTCTGCAGTCGCTTCAATTCCTCCTGCTGGTCGCGCATTTTGGATTCCAACACATCGATTCGATCCACTGAGACAGGCTCCAGGACAAACGTGTACTTCACCACCTCTCACTGAGCGTAGGATGCGAAACTTGACGCTAACCACCAGTTGACAAGCATCCCCACTCAGCACTTCCAACGTGCACTGGGCATCGCTCGATTCATCCGGTTCACCATCAAGTGCGTTTTGGAACAGCTACAATTCATTAGATGAGATACACGACACCTGCCATGATACCAAACACAACAAAAGCACACCTTCAAGTAATCGTTTGCCGATGCATCTGAAATTGCATTGGCCGATGTCACGTAATCTTCTTTGGTCACCCCACTCTTGCTCCTAGTAACACCACAACAATCAAAAGTCACGATGACGAAGATGACCTCGCACTCATTACATACCATTGCTTTTTGCTGGTTCGATCTTCCATCCAAATACTCAATTTGTCGTCTTTGAGTCGGAGGATGTAGCGATAAGACGTCGCAGGCGATGTCGAGAATGCAGTGATTCCATCCACTTCTGTATCGTGACTCGACACCATGCTTTGGACGTATGTAGTGCAGGAGAGAAAGTAATCCGGTGACTGTTGCTTTCACCGAGCAAATCGGGTTGTTTCCGAAAGATTACGTAGAGTTTCACCAACGTTAGTACTGGAGTCGGAGCTTTCTTGTTGATGGGACAGCGTGTTACGAAAATGTAGATACCACAACGGCAGAGTACACGATGGTTTGGGATCATTTATCGGATCATGATAACTCAGTCCATCAAAAGCTTTTAGGCCTCATCATTAACAGGTAGCGGACGAATCTACTACATTGCGAGCGGATCTACAATGCAACTTCACATGCAGCCAAACGCTATGACAAAGAGAAGTATTTGCATGTGTAGCTGCCATGCAACAACGACGAGAATCCTCGTAAGAGATCTATCAATGAAGTAATTGGACATATCCTGACTGTACCAGTATCTATCACAGGTCAGATGTAATGCAGCTCGATCTCTCGAGAGAATCTGATGACAATAGGGCATATGAGTACTACCAACTTCAACCTTTTTGCCTGCAATTAGTTTGCATGGTCATTCCTTCAAGTTTGTTCAAGTTTGTCAAGAGCGTGTCTCATGTGTATTGTGTAATGCTGGGTCTAAACAGCAGCAATTTTTCCCCCAATTTTCGTGGACCCTTTCCATGCCGTTGACTTTCAAGACCTCCTGGTATCGCTCTCTCGCTCTCCTCGCAAAATATTGTCCCTATTGGTCTCCTGCTCCACTACTACAAGCACATAGTGCATCTGCTCCGTTGCTGCATTTACATTCCTGCGCTTCGCTGCCGCGTTATCCGCGCTATTATGATCGTTTGTTTTGTCCGTGCGGCCATCCGGTACATTTATTTTTTCCTTCACTTGCGGTTTGTCGATTCCCTTATCTACAAAGCAAGACAAAAGCGGCTATCGAAAGCGTGCGCTGGCCGTCAAGCGCCACATCGCGGCAAGAAGACGCGTGAGTGCATTCGACTCGCGAGCGCATTCGTAGTCTGGGCAAGTCGATCTTTGTGCAGTGCCAGATCCGCAAGAATGTGCTCCGTATGCTCGGCAAGTGTCGCCGTAAAATATTACAAATGTTGCTGGAAAAGGGGTTTGCAGGGTTCGACTCGACATTGACAAATTAACTTAATGGTTGGTAGCGACAGCAAATCTGTCGAGGTGCATCTTCAGAACAAGATTTATTTACATTACACGAGGGTGGCCGGATGCATGACCATTGGTGAACGAACACGAAGCGTTCGTAAGGACGAACAAGCAAGGGCCTTGTTAGTATGGTGATGCCAGAGACTTGAGCTGTATGTAACTCTGACATCAAAAGCAATAGACTAACATGGGCTTAGCTGCGTTTGGAGTGGTTGCATTGACAGCGTAAAGAAAAACGGGTGCAGTGGAGGATTGATCGTAGTCAAGGAAGAAGTCGCGGCCGTTCGTGCGATGGTGTGAACGGATAGTTTGACCAAGTCTTTATGGCTGCAAGCAACTAAACACTTGACGCACCTTTGGATATCTGCTTTACCTTGGTGCAGTAGCGATGTCACGAGCAAATGCACGTGAATTAAAGGTGTGTCAACACGAGATTAGTTAAAACCAACCTCATGTTGTTTCACCTTTAGCCTGGTGTTGCGATGTTCATGCAACTCCCCGGCTTATGTGCCGTAAGTTGTGATAAGTATCCAGATGCCACTTGCATGTATGCGACTTGCATGCAACTAGTCGTACATGCAAGTGGCCTACATGCAAGTGGCCTACATGCAAGTGGCATCTACGCTGACGTTCCCAGCGCAGAGATAATTATCGAAAGGACTACCAACACGACGAAGGCGATGACACCTGTTTTCGTGTTAATGCGTTCGACTGTAATGTCAAATCGATAAGGGCGTGTGCTTGTGCATGCTACCTAGTTGGCCCGATCTTGACAATATGCAATCAATGGATCATGTTCTGGTAGTCAAGTGCTGCAATCGAGCAGAGTGGCAGTGTTTCTTTGTTTAACTAAGCGTAGTTCAGCGCCCAATTTGCTCGATTAACAGGTGAGAAGTGCCAGTCAAAGTGTTGACGGTAACAGCCAGTCTGTCGTTCGCATCAAACCGGGCAATGGTGCTTGCAGTCAAGGAACTATGATAGCCAGAATTTGAGCCCGAATAGATGCACTCTTCGTTCTTCTGAATAGAGATGCCCTGATTTGAGCCAGTCACAACTACTGTAATGCTGTAAGCTCCAGGTTGACGAATCGAGATCTCGCCAGTTCCATGATCCAACGTGAAGTTGTCCGAATCGGGATCGCTCCACTGCAGCTTTTTAGTTGTGTCATTTTTTGTTGAAGCTTCAAGGTGTACATGCGCGATAGATTGTTTCTGCAGTCGCTTCAATTCCTCCTGCTGGTCGCGCATTTTGGATTCCAACACATCGATTCGATCCACTGAGACAGGCTCCAGGACAAACGTGTACTTCACCACTCTCACTGAGCGTAGGATGCGAAACTTGACGCTAACCACCAGTTGACAAGCATCCCCACTCAGCACTTCCAACGTGCACTGGGCATCGCTCGATTCATCCGGTTCACCATCAAGTGCGTTTTGGAACAGCTACAATTCATTAGATGAGATACACGACACCTGCCATGATACCAAACACAACAAAAGCACACCTTCAAGTAATCGTTTGCCGATGCATCTGAAATTGCATTGGCCGATGTCACGTAATCTTCTTTGGTCACCCCACTCTTGCTCCTAGTAACACCACAACAACTCAAAAGTCACGATGACGAAGATGACCTCGCACTCATTACATACCATTGCTTTTTGCTGGTTCGATCTTCCATCCAAATACTCAATTTGTCGTCTTTGAGTCGGAGGATGTAGCGATAAGACGTCGCAGGCGATGTCGAGAATGCAGTGATTCCATCCACTTCCATATCGTGACTCGACACCATGCTTTGGACGTATGTAGTGCAGGAGAGAAAGTGATCCGGTGACTGTTGCTTTCACCGAGCAAACCGGGTTGTTTCCGAAAGATTACGTAGAGTTTCACCAACGTTAGTACTGGAGTCGGAGCTTTCTTGTTGATGGGACAGCGTGTTACGAAAACGTTGATACCACAACGGCAGAGTACACGATGGTTTGGGATCATTTGATCGGATCATGATAACTCAGTCCAATCAAAAGCTTTTAGGCCTCATCATTACCAGGTAGCGGACGAATCTACTACATTGCGAGCAAATCGGGTTTAGTCGGACAGAGAGCGTTAAGTCTCACCAACCTTGTCTCGGAGGTAAAGCTTTCTTGCTTGTGGGACAGGGTGATACGGTAACGTTTATACCGCAACGGTAGGGTACACGATAGTTTGGGATCATTTGATGGGTCATGATGAGTCAGTCCATCAAAGCTGCTACGCATCATTTACCAGATTGCGGACGAATTTACGACTTTGCGAGCGGATCTACAATGCAACTTCACATGCATTTCACGCGCTATGACAAAGAGTAGTATTTGCATGTGTAGCTGCTATGCAACAACAACGAGAATCCTCGTAAGAGATCTATCAATGAAGTAATTGGACATATCCTGACTGTACCAGTACCTATCATAGGTCAGATGTAATGCAGCCTCGATCTCTCGAGAGAATCTGATGACAATAGGGTATTTGAGTACAACCAGCGTCAACCTTTTTGCCTGCAAAGTAGTTGTTTGCATTATCGTTCCTTCAAGATTGTTGAAGTCTTTCAACAGTGTGAAGACTCGTCGTTCACTTAGTAAATTGAAACTGAATTAACGTAGGTCCTTAATTCGCTACCCTGTGCTAAGCCTATCGTTTTATGTCCTTCTAGAATGTTCCTGATGACGTCATGGGCTGTTTAGCCTATATACAGCTCAGTCGTTTTGCACGACTCGGCGACAAAACATTCTCCTGGACTTAACTTCACGTTGGAGGTCTCGAAAGCCCTTGTAACGGGGCACCCTTTGTTTGGGGTGCCGCAAAACTTCACGTACACTAGTACGTGCAGAGGAAGCTATCTACTAGATCGACTCGATCAAGTAAGGTCAAAAGAGAACTTTGTTTAATATAGTTAAGCCATCAATATAACTTTAATCTCATCTAACCATGTTAAACTACGCTGTCGTGTGACGACAACCTGCTCACCACTCATTGCGCGCTAGCAGCAATTGGTGGTAATCCATGGTTGATATGTTTTGTATTAACCAATCTTGGAGCAGCGAATGAATACTATCCAAAGGGAATAACATTCCTTCAAATTATCCATCTCGGATAGTATCGGTAGAATATTGTCATACTAGACTATATTCCAATTGATACCGTTTGGTGTCAATTTCATGTAACAGGCTACCCCGTTACATCACCTCCCTTTAACCATCAATCACCCGCTGATTGAATTAGAATTGATTGGGACAGGGTGACCCCCGTTGAATCACTGTGGGAAAGGGAGCACCTAGTTTTCAAATTTCATTCATTTGCCAATCGAACGCATGGTTTCGAAAACCACTCGAGCTGCTACTGCAGCAGCAAGAAAAGCAGCTGCACGCATGCGTGCGGCCGCGGTGAGTGCCTCTCACGCCTCAGCAGCAGGCGATACGTCGTCTGTTGTCGTGAATCCTCCACGTGGTGAGTCACCACGTGGGACAGGTACATCCGTTGCGTCTGCAGCGGGTACTCGAATCGTAATCCAGACGAGGTGAGATAGAGCTCATCTATTCTGTCGAGTCGGATGATGCACCGACTCGAAGGCGACTCCTTACGCCTCGGGATCACCCAAGGCGAACGCTGCAAAAGCCAGGCTGGCTGGCTTTGGTCAGCGCGGCAGCATCATGACCGAGATCTTCGGATCGAGTGATTACTCCGATGAGTCTCCGCCTCACGCAAGTCTATCCAACGATAGGATGCGTGGAGACGGTGGCGATGCACCTATGAATCACCACGAGCGAAGCAACTCAAGGGATCTGGGTGACACTAGTGCCAGTGCTCATGCTAGCACCAATCAAGAGGCCAGGGACCTAAATTTCCTGCGCCACGCTCCTCAAGTGTAGTCTCTGTGGATGCCGCCATCCAAGCAGTTAGATCGAGTGGCCGGCATGACGACCGAATGGGATCGACCTCGTTGTTCGATTGCAGGAAGATTTGCCTACCTGATTCCAGCACGTGAACTATCCGTGCTGAGGAAGAATTCTTCACCGATGCGTTCTTCAAACGTCGGTGGTACAATGGTAGCCGTGTACGAGACGGCAAAGACTTGGTGCAGGGATGGAATGCCCTTATCTACAACATCGAGTGTATTGGCCCCTGAGGCCAGGCTCGATAAACTTGATGCAGCTCGCATCAGGTTTGAGAAACGCAACCCAGTTGGGGCTCGATACAAGTTGCACCGGCTTTCAAGAGAGTCAGGATTACCCTGTCTCTCGCGGTGCGACACGTGTCCAAGTTGCCTGGGAAACTCGAATCGTGCCCCTAGGGAGGCCTACCTCCCTAATGATCCCTACTGGAGGGCGCGCATCTCTTCCGAGATGGCCGAAGGGATCGACACTTTGCAATCCCTGTACTCGCAGTTGAGGAGGTCCTTTTCCGACGGCCATTCTTCAAACGAAGCGGGTGGGTCTTGTCGTACTTCTCGACGAGACTATGGACATCAACAATCAGCTGGGCACGAGGCTCCCAGCTGTCCCACGCCGGTGAATAGCCACGCCAGCGGACGAGATAACTCGTCCAGACGCCATTCACATCGCGGTGGTTCAAAATACGCTATACTTGGAAGCGTTGACCACCGCTTGAGTCCACCAAAGGAAGTGGTGCCGGTGGGAACACCTGATTCGGCTCGAGGGTCGGATCAAGTTGATCTTCAAGAGCTGAACTGTGTAACGGAACCGTTGCAAGATGACCTGGCTCATGAACGATCTCGGCGTTATGGGCTTGATGATCTTGTAAGGGATGATTACAATCCCCTAATGCACGATCGTTCGGACGATCGTGCCGCTTTTGCGTTCGCGCAACTTGAAAACGAACGTTCGACTCGTTTTCTTCGTGGTGAGCTGGCTGTAGCTCGTCAGGAAATTGCTCAACTGCGTGAACAGGTCGCTTCGCTAGTCGACCAGACTGGCTCGTTGAAACGGGACCACTCGAAGGTGGTCTCGGCTCTCGAATGCGGAGGTGTTCTTCGCATCTAGAAACGGGCTCGTACTGATAGTACGGGCGGAGACGACCGACGTAAAACGTAGGATGCGTGCGCATCTTACGGGGAAGTTCGATCGTGTATGCATTGCCCATTCGGCGCAACACACGAAATGGACCGATGTACCTGGGCAGTAATTTACTTCTGCCCACGTGTGTCACCGCGTGTTTCGGTAAGTTTACTGTAGACAGTAAAACTAGGTCTCCTATATCAACTGAAATAACATTAGCTCTATCATGTTTGTCTGCGTTTCTCTTTTGTCTGTCTAATGCATCTGCAATAAAGTCTCGAACGAAGCGGACAACCGCTTCGCGAGTCAGCAGAAATTCCTCTGCTGATTCATCCTTGTCAACAGCAGTGCGCTTCGTGTGCACTGCTGAAAGAATGTTGTCTTCACTAGTGAGGATATCATCGTCCTCACTTTGGGGGTCATTGGCGATGCTGAATATGCCAGCATCAGTGTCATCGTCATCATCGACATCGATCCCTCCGCCATCGGCATCCATCACGTCGAAACCATTGTCGACGGGTGATGAGCAAGAACCAGATAGGTTTTTGTTCGAGCGAGTCCACTCCCCCCTTAAACTAAAGTCACACTTTAAGAAGGCGGGTAAGCGTGGATGGCGTAGGCCATTCAAGAAGAACGGTGTATGGTTTCGACGCGTGCACCGAGTTGATGATGGCGAATTCCGCCATCGGCAAGAACTCACTCCAGCTCGTAAACGAGTGTACATACCCTCGGAGTAGTTCTTCGAGAACGCCGTTGACGCGTTCTGTTTGACCATCTTTTTCGGGAGGTCAGAAGTTGACATTGTCAAATGTGTTCCCAGTGAATGGAACACGGATTGCCAGAACTACTCTGTGAAGCGGGGGTCCCCATCGGACACGAATTCACGGGGTAACCCGTGAAGTCGGAAGATAGTATCGATGAAGACGCGCGCACAGCCCTGAGCTGTAATTGACTCCGGTACAGCAACAAGATGTAATCTTGCTAAACCGATCAACAAACACAAGAATACCCGTATCCTTTTTAACGTCTTTGGGAAACTCGAAGACAAAGTCCATCGATACGGACTGCCAACACTCTGCCGGAATCGGAAGAGGCTGCAAGGGTGCGCGGAATGAAGGACTAGGCTTCACCCATTGACAAACTTTGCAAGCGCGAATGTATTTCCGCACAAACTCATACTGGCGGGGCCAGTAGAAGTCACGACGCACCGCGAGCTAAGTCTTTTCTCTACCGCTATGTCCACTTGTTGGGGCATCGTGACACTCATACATGATGTGCAATCGCTAATAAATATGAGCCGGAACGACGACACGAAGTGTGTCGCCGTTGACTGCTGCATAGTACAGAAGTCCATCGCGGACAGAATACCGTTTGGTTGAAGAGCGGTACGACAAGCTTTTCAAAGCTTGACTGCACGGATTGGATACGTTATCCATCAGCCGTAGAAGACACTCATCTCCTGCGTATGCCTTCTGCCCGTCGTCGAGCAGACTCGACGACGGAACGACCACTAATAGTGTTGCAACAGCGGGATTACACCGACTGTTGGGTTAAGCGGTCGGCTCGAAATCGGGCCGACGCGAAAGAGCATCAGTGACGACATTAAGTCGTCCTGATTTGTACTAGACGGAGAAGTTGTACTCCGCGAAAAAAGACAGCCACCTCACCATTCGTTGCAAGAGGTTTGGACTGTTTACGGCCGTGCGAAACGACGCATGGTCGGTATAAACGATGAAGAGCCTATCTCCTAAGATGTATACCCTAAAATCAGCCAGTGCATGTCTTACGGCAAGGAGTTCCTTGTCATGCACTGGTAGTTACGCTCCGATGCTTGCAGCTGACGTGATTGACAACAGACGACGCGCTCAACGCCGTCTGAGTCGTACTGCATTAACGCGCAGCCGATTGCAAAATCGCTGGCGTCACAGACCACACGAAATGGCCTATCCTGATCTGCAATCGCCAGCACAGGCGATTGAACCAAGCTTTTCTTGATGCCCTCAAAAGAGTGCTGACAATCAGCGCTCCATGACCACCTCTCGTTTTTCTTTAGCAGGCAAGAGATGTACGGTCATCTCGGCATAGATGCGCGAGTACATGTGCAAGATGCTGCCAAGCCAAGGAACTGTCGAAGTCCCTTAACGCCGACTGGCACAGGCCAGTCGCTAATCGCATTGATCTTTTCCGGATCAGGGCGTACACCGTTTTTACCCACGATGCACCCAAGAAGTGCTATATTGTTCGCTGTGAATATACACTATTTGAGGTTCGAGAACAACTTTTGCTCTCGCATTAGTGCAAGAACCTTCCAGACATGGATTCTATGAACCTCCACGTCCGTCTACCCATCCATAGACTGGCTATGAACGAAAACATCGTCGAAGTAACTCGGTACGAAATCGCGCACTGATCGCAACAGATTCGTAACACATCTGTTAGACGTTGCGGGGGCGTTACTAAGCCCTTGTGGCATTACTAGCCATTCCCAGAGCTTGCCTCTAGGCGTGCTCACTGCGGTATAGGGTATGTCTCGTTCACGCATGAGGATCTGATAGAATACATCCATCAAATCCATGGATGAAAAGATGGTACTTTTTGCCATACCATCTATGATCACATCCTTTATTGGGATCGGCATTTGAGCCGGTACCGTTGAAGCATTTAATCTGTTGAAATCGTGCACTATCCACCACCCTCCCGTGGCCTTTCGCACAAAGAATGTCGGAGAGCTGTGTGGGGATGTTGATTCCCTCACCTGTCTAGCCGCTAAACGATCGACAAAGAATTTGTCATTCGCTGTGACCTGTTCACGAGGCAGTGGCCACTGCTTCGTGACACAGTATTTCGAACCAGGTTTCAGTTCGATCTCATGCCGAGTGCCTTTGTCCTTAGGCAGCTCGCATGGCACGGATTCCGTGAAATCATCTCTTAATTCCACCAAATCCTTATACAAAGGATTTTTCTTCAAAGACTCCCAAGATTGAGACGTGTATCACTCAATCCGGGTCTTCTCATCGAGTACACTCTCGTCCATAGATGAGATACTAAGAAACCGTTTTTCTCAACAAACACCTGCGCCGACCGAATATCGGCGACGTACTCGTCCTCTGTGACGAGGACTCAGATCTGCTTGATCTCGTCACTGCGCAGATCTCGCAAGAATACTTTAGATTCTAGCATTGGCAACTTGACCACCTCCGAAGCTGACTTCGGGGGCGTCACCAGATTTAGTTTATAAGCACCTACACTTGATCCATCATTCACCAAGACATTAACTGACTCGGTGATTTTATGGGTAAACACATCCGCAGGTGGTTTGGGATCCACACCCTCAACATAACTCTCTCGGGTGTTATTGCTCTTAGGAACGCCAAATTTTCTCCCGTTACGGGTACTTTCACGGTAACGTTCTCTTCGATCGACTCTATTTCAGTCGAGCGGGCTTGCTCTACGATCGACTGTCTGATAGTCGATCTCGCTTCAACGTGTTTTCCATACTGAACAACACTAATCTCTCTTCTCGGATGCACCCTTCTTGGTTTGCATCCGTGTTCCGGTTCACTCGAACTCTTCGAGTGGTGAATCTTCGGCGCAGCCTGTGTCTCTACATAGGTGCCGGAAGCTGATTCCACATTGCAGTGGCCTTCTACACTGTGATCTTGTGCAATCGCATAAATGACCGTACCACAAGTGACACCATCGCACTCACTCATATTACATCCACACGATTGTGGACGCTCCTAGACGTTCGTCAGATGGCCATCCGATGAACAAACGGCAGACATCTTCACGGATCGATGCTGCAGGCTAACCCATGGCCGGTACTTTATAAGCCATAGCAGACCGAGGATGAC